ATAACGGCACGCACTTCACTGCAAAATTCCTCGAGGAATGGTTGAAGGGTCTTGGATGTCGACATCTGCTTACTGCTCCGCGACCTCCCCAGCCGAATGGCCCTGCCGAAAATTTTGTCCGAACACTAAAGTCTGCCATTATTGTACACTTTCCTACTACTTTTGTGGAATTGGACCGTGGGATTGATAATTTTCTAATGCAATACAGGAACGCCGTCCATTCCGTTACTGGGAAGAGCCCCGCGCTTCTATTTAAATCTCGTTCGTTGCGTACAAGTCTTGACTGTGCCAAAACGGCTGATGTTACATTTTTCAAGGGTAATGATTTACGACCCGCAACAGGAATAGTACTTTCATCAAATGGCAAATGAATGGTCACAATTCTCGATTTGGATGATCTCTCTTGTCATCGGAGACACATTGACCAGGTTGAGTTCAATACCAGAGGTCAGTCTGTTAACGGCACTCCTGGTGTTCCAAATACTAACGAGTCCTTTGTAGATGATCTTATGGCATCTGAACAAAACGTATCTGAAGAACACACAACCTGTGAAGAGTCTGAAGTTTCCATTCCGAGAAGATTTACCCATCCGTCAATGATTATGTAAAAGATTACTAGCTCATCAATGGTTCATTCAACTGAGTTTGCCGTTTATTGGATTTGTATCATGAGTTGAGCCCTATCCTCCAGTATTCTTTAAGGCTAAGTTCAGGAGTAAGTGCTTGCCATATGTTTCAGTTTTGACAAAGGAAAAATAGGTATAGAAGCCTCTGTGGAATCGTTCAAACTTCAGACAAACTAACTACTATATTATGTTATTGTTGCTATTTTATTTGTAATTTATTTGAGACTTCAGTTGATCTGAGGTGTGATGTCGCCTCAAATCCAGTCGAGGCTTCGGTGATAGAGAGGACAAAACAGTTGGTTTCATTCAGAAGTAGACATTATTACTGACGGATTGCCACAAAATTAGCACCAAATTCAATGGTTGGCAATGCCTTAGTGAAATACAGGAGGAAATTATAACTCGTGAAAAATGCACCTGCATTGGTATGAGCGGACTATTTTGGGCAATGTCCAAGTTCAGAGAATTCAAACTTAGGAGAGCAAATTAGATTTGATCGGAGCAGGTATAAATGGGCGTTTCTTACAGCTTAGGCTATGTTAGAGCGAATGGTCTCAATCGTTCTGAGGACGGTATATTGTGATTGAGGCGGGAAAATCTTCCGCCTGAACAGAAAAACCGGCCTCCTTTGAACCATAAGCAAGTTCACGGGAAAAACTTTTCCAAGACGCATCGGGATACTCTGGGAGTTCCCACAGAGGCATATATTCGGTGGGCTGAATAATAGCACAGCTGAAGGCCGAGGGCACGTTCACCTACACCCCTTAGTCTTCCAAAAGAGAAGTGCTCGGACCATTGAGGTTGCGCGAGGAGCGTATGACCAACTACAGCTATGCTATCAGAATCTGTAGAGCAGCAACAGTGCCGTCATCACCACCTCACATATTGGTTTGTCAGCCGCCTATGCATGGCCGTATCCGTTAAAGCAGCCGAGGAAAGTGAATGCGTCTGGTGCCCTTAGCATTAGCTAGGCAATCATGGAATTATGAGATCATCATTGAGCGGTGGGTATTCTCGGGCTAGTTTAGCTTACCCTATTGATTGTACACTAAGCGCCATCTAGGAGGGGCACTGAAGCGACCACAGCTGGAGTGAGGATTGGAGACAGTAATGCTCAAAGAGTTGGCCAGTTGCGCTCAAACTGCTGACGTCTATGACTAGTCACCAAGCACTCTAGATAATGCATTTCAGAAAATCTCATTACCGGCGCTTCGCCAGTCCTGTAAACTTTTCTTTTGGGTGGATGCCGGCCGATTAAGTGGCTTCTTGCTGTTTATTCTACGTAGCTCACATATTTTTACAATCTTGGCTCTGGTGTATCTGAGTACAAGCAAATAAGATTCACTCGGTGGAGTGGAATTATGGTCAAAAATTGTACAAAAGCGGGTAATGCATTTGGTGCAGTTTAGAAGCTAAGGGATTAAGGAGGGAGGGAGGGCGGTTTACCAAACGTTAACTTCCCAGGAAAGTATTCATGCTAACATGGTAGTGCACTGTCACCGTTCTCGTCCGTGTAGGAGCTAAATAGCACCTCGGTTAAAGCCCGACGCTGTATATTAAGTATACGTTGGTTTGCTCCTAGCTCAGAAAGAAGGCTAATTTCCGGCAGGCTGTTGACTAATGCGGCCTTGTTGAGGAGGATGGCTTCAAATGTCATCTAAACATCTGCCACCGGCAGCTGACCAAACGATTGACCGGCGCCCACTCAAAATGCCGCAGAGAGAGTTGAACTGGAACGCAATCTACCGCCCTATGCCATTACAACTAGTCAAGAGGCTAAAAGTGGGGTTGCGCATTTTTCAGGGGGGCAAACATACTGAAAAAGCAGATCGCACGTACAACAACTCACCGCAGTCGAATTCAAGATGCATATTCCTTCTATCTGTCCCTCAAAAATTGCCTTTGTGCGCAGAATCGCAGCGCACCGTACTTAATTTATTTTTGAGGAAGCTTGAGAAATGGTCTAGCTGATAGCTGTTTTATATCACTGGCCGAAGAATGTTATATTTTCCTGACACGGAGGGAGCGGGAAGGGGTCCGCATTAGTACCTTTTTTTCGGAGAATATGAAATTCGCTTGCACTTCCGCTCAAGATTTCGCGTGTCTTCGTAGGGCGTCAGTAGCGAGTTCTACCCAGTTACCTGCAATTGACCAGTTAGCTTTCCGCTACACGTACGCCCTGACTTCATGTTTTCAGGCGCGATGATTGACCGTTGTTTACACCGTAGATGTTTAAGCATGTTCATTCAATCTCGAAAATTTGTGCGGCCGGCTACCGTCCAACCAGAAATCCCAGCTTTTTGCTGAGCTTTTTTGGGGAAGAGCACCATCAAGACCAATAAAACGATTTGCTTCTGATTGCTACATTCCATGGTATGCGAAATTATCTTAGCGAGGTTTGTGGAACTTTCCGTGGTTTTATACAAAACTTTTCGCGCTGAATCAAATAGGCCAAATGCTGGAAGCTCTTGCGGTGTTGCAAGTATACATTCATGTTGTACATTAGGCCGACGATAGATTTTTTCCCGCTCGGAAGATTCAAAGACGTGCCACAAGTCTCTTCGCGAGATTAAGTTGAATGGGCTGAGAGAAGATGTAGGTTATCGTACGACTGTATTTCTCACTAAAACTGAAGATTGGTCTAGTCATCGATGTGGAGAATGCAACTGATCAGCTATATGTCAGCTTGTCTAAACACAGATCATACGCCTCTTCTTGGTTTCCTTTTGAATTTTGCCACAAAATGGTTAGAGGTTGACCGACTTTGCGAGTCTTGGTTGTAGACAAATGAAAACCGCTGAAGTCAACCGATATTTCATTGCACTTTCACTATAGTATCAAGTACAGGGAGAAATTGGTAGGCATTTTGAATGTCATCTGCATATCTCTGTTTACAATTTAGACGAAAAAATCAGTATTTTCAGTATTTTCTGCTGTCATCCACAGCAGACTGTGGGGAGCTTATCCTAAGGACCCTAGCTATCTGCGTTTTGTTTGCAGGCTATAGGTTTGGTTGCCATCCCCAGATGACGTCGGTTTCAAAGGCAACTGGAAACTTATTTTCAATAATTCAGATACAGCAGTAGAAAATGCAGCCTGTATTCTGCGGCTGGTTGCACTCGCAATGGCAGTTATTCGATAGCGGTGGTCAGAGTTTGTATACTCAGCATAAACAGCAGGCTGTTCTTATAAGTGAAACCGCAGGGCGCGATAACTCGCAAGCCCTATGTCACCGTTGCCTGTGTGTAATTTCTGTCGGAAAGGGTCTTTCACTTTGTTTGATTATGGTGAGTCAGAGCAATGATAGTGATAATAATATTTATTCCCTACTCGTGGGTGGCATACCGTCTGGCAGAATGAAGCGTGATTGGGGTTTGCGGGTGGTGAGGATTGCGCGAAAACAGAACAATGTCATAAACACTGGGAAATAATGATAATAGGTTTGTTTCGCAACTTGTAGGGAGCAATGTGTATGAGGTATGACTTGTTCAAAGACAGTCGGTTGATATGAACTTAACCTGAAAACCATCGCTGACCATGAATGACTTTGGGTGGTGGAGTAAATGGCCGGAGTCACGACGAGCAGAAGTCGAGATGGAGTAACACGAATTGGGAGCAAATGGCAAGTTTTGTTTCAAAAATATGGTTTAATCTGAAACTGAGGAAACTAACCGTTTGCATTCTTCTAGGAAAGTCAGGTGCAAAGGATAAGTTGGATAAAGAGATGGCGCTAATGCATAGGGCCAACAGAGCACCTTATGCATTAAACTTTGGGAAAGGCAAGCCGAAATTGCAGCAGAAAACCAAGCTGACCAAATTAGAGCGCAAATTCATCGGGTACAAAAGAACTCGTCCCATAAACGAGAAGTGATGCCCAAGATTCTAAAGAAAGTAGTTGCACGAGTGCCATCACAGTGGGTGTGACACTGACATGCTTCGGTTTACGGACAGGGCCTTCTACAACGTATGCGTACCGTATGCTTGTCAGGAGTGCCACTTATTGATCTCGTGCGACAAATGTCTGGCAGTTCGGGAGAAACAGCGCCGCATGTGTCTCACTAATTCACGCGTTACAAGCAAACTTTTAGTCACATCCAGCATATTAGGCCTACGGCTAGCATTTGACAAGACCATCAAGCTATGATGATTTTGGTGATTTCTACGTCCTGTAATCAAAGCCCATATGATAAATAGCTCATGTTTAGGCGTGCGGGCATTTTGCTTTGCCACTTGCTTTCGGATACAGCTCATAAATCCCTACTACCGCCTGTGTTCGCATGCTTCGCCTGTCAGTATGCTCACTAAGGCTCTATAATTAGAAATGCAAAAAGGAAACGGTATGACGTGGCCTTCATTCCGTCTCCAAATTTCCTGTTAGACCACTTGAACCATCCGTAAACAGTCGGTTTTTGCGCTCGGTGCCCCTGAAACCCAAGAGTGCAGACTAGCCAGAGACCCCACTCCAAAAGCATTTGATTGATTCAGGTGATTTGACCACAAATTTGGACGATAATGTGGCCTCTGCTACAGTCATAAGCGATCCGCCCGTGGTATCACTGATGCATGAAGGTATATAAATGGTCAGTTCACGGAGAGTATTAACTACCTGTCACGATTTTCAGCTTTGTGTTTGCGTCTTCAGGAACACTTTTAGGCCAATCTCTCCCAAGCTTAGCACTTATAATCACACATGGTCACACATGTTCACTTCAATCACTCATCAACATTCTCACCATCTCCGCCTGGATGGTGACCGGTGTTTTGAGGAACGGTCTTCACCGCGTCGCTACAACACCTAATGACTACAGTCACCCTTAAATACCTTCCAAGCTTGGACATCATCCATTCACTACCCTCATGCTCGCAAGTAGCGGTATTTTTGAATTTGAGTTCACAACATGAATATGACCACATTATTCTCTGAGCCGAATAGCGGCAGTAAAGCTTTCTTTCCCCCTTAACTGGAACTAAAAATTTAGTTTATTATTCCCCGTTTCATTCAATCGTCATTTCCGAGCCAATTCTACTCGCCCTAATAACCCTAAATGATTCGCCCAAAACGGCTAACTGCGCGCTATCCCTCCCAGTGTGATCAACTCCCGTATCTTACCATTCCTATCCCAATTCCGGGCCGTGTGTGTTTCATGCGCCAGGAGGGCCTTTTCAGCACACTGAATGTATGCAAAAACTTCCAAATACCAGCATTCCAAAGCAACGACTGCTTGCTCTTTCCGTAAGTATGCCTGTTCGACGGTCCCCGATCCTTCAATTGCACCCGTATGGGCATTATTCACTCCAACCAGTCTGCGTTCTACACCCGAACGGATCCTCATCCGGACCAAAAATATACCTGCACTCTTACACTGGATTTGTTCTCCCCTACTGATTCCTTAGGCCAACCCAATAATATCCCTGGCTGCATACTTCCACCACTTAGTTCGATCACCTTAAACATGACGCCAGTTAAGAGACTGTACAGAAAACAAAGGATGTCAGTACAATGATGACACGGCACCGACGTGCAAAGTTTGATGGCACACCTGCAGCTGGTCACTCTTAATGTTCACTGTGCCACCCCCGACTACTCGTTCTTTCACTTGTTACTGGAAACAAATTCTTCACCTGACGCTAGCCGCCTGTAAAACGATTTCATTCTCATCTTTTGAAGCCTTTCTTCGGGTTTGAAAATCTCCCAGGACATTTC